AAGAGTGTTTATCAAACCCCAGTGAATATGGTACAGTACACCTTCCTATGGTAAGGACTTGATTTGGGATAAAGACAAAGAACTAGTCTCAATAGAGAATTCTGTAGTTCGCAGTAAAAAGCTAAGAATCTAAGTAAATATGATGAACTGACCACACTCCCTTATGAGAATAAGAATAATAGAGGATTTAAAAATATATTAACCTATGAAAATAGAACATACGAGATTTCAACAAACTTCTGGGAAATGGAAAGCAAATGAAGAATAAGGGATGAAGTAAAACAGAAGTTAAAGCCTAGAGTAGCTACACAGAGGAAATCTTTAGGGAGGGTGGCTATCTGCCCTGGAAAACACCAAACAGGGTCAGGATTCTGAAATGACAAGTAAACAGAGGGTGCAGGAATGAGAAATGGGGCTCAAGATTAAGGGATTAACTGAAAGGCTGACCCTGACCCCATTTCCATCAACTCAGCAGCCAAATCCTTGTTTAAAATATTACCCTGTAACCAGGCATCCATCCCACTCAAAGAGTCAAGAGCTCTTCTTCAAAGAAAGCAGACAGCCCCAGAGAACTGGATGCTAAGGCGGGGGTGGAGATATTCACTGCAGCATTATTAACAATAGTCAAGATATGGAAACAACCTAAGTGTCCATCAACAAAGGAATGGATAAAGATGTGATATATACATATACAACAGAATAATATTCAGCCATGAGAAACAAGGAATTCCTGCCATTTGCTGACTTAAGACACAAAAGTGTAAATATATTCCCTAATGTTATAAAGGTAACACTTAAAGAACCAGAAATATTCATATAACTATTATCAGGAGAATGTGGAAGAGACGGTGAGGTGACATAAAAGAACTACTTACTACTCTATTGTAGCAAAAACCGTAGAGAATGCCTAAAATACATATAAAAAAGTTGAACGTGCATTATTTAGACATATGGCGGGCTGTGTTCTTCCATGTCTTCTCTGAACTAGACTCTGGATAGCAAGGCAGGGACAGAAAGGTAGAATAGGGGAGTGTTATCATGTGTACTCTGTAACGAGAATTACTGGATAAATGAAAAGAGAAAAAACGTCTACCACTCTAGCAGGTAAAATTAGTTTGGCTATCATTCCAAAAAACAATACCTTGCTTTTTAGGGTAATGTGTCAAAAGAAAAAGTTTTCATCAAGAAAATACAAAGAGGATGACGTCAGGAAAACCGGCAGAGTAAAGAAAGAACTCCAAAACTTCACCTCTCCAAAAGAGCGAGGAAAGAACTGGCAAAAACTGTCAGAATCATCTTTTTCAGAACTCTGGAAATTAACCAGAGGCTTACAGCACACCTGGGGAGCATTTATTGAAGAAAACAGCTAGATCTTGGTAAGACCAGTGAGTTTTGTGTCATTTTAACTTGCCCTAATCCTGTCCAGTGCTCTCCAGCTACACAGTAGCCTTGAAAAATAAGCTTGTATTCCCAGAGCAGCTTGACAGCCACCAGTGAGAACAATAAAGCTGGAGCTCTTTCAAAGCCTCATTCCCAAAGAACTGTAATTAACTGACCTATCTGTTGGTTCACTGCAAGTCTCCAAGTACAAGCCTAACTCAGAGTTTGCCCAGAGCAAAAAAGCCTTGGGGGGAAGGGAAGGGACAAAAGTGCTTATTAAAAGTGATTACAGGCATGTGTTTTACCTTTATAGTGCCTGAAAGATGGCTAACAGTCAGGACAAACAACAGACTAAACAAAAACCTTAAAGTAAAACCTGGGAAATGTGATGTCCACAGGGGCTTTGAAAAGTCACACACATGTACAGAGTTACACACATGTTCAAGAAAGACCTGAGAAAGCCCTAAACTCTCACCTCTTGCTGACCTTGAGACTCTGACCTTTCACCTTAAGAGGCGAAAGCTAAGGTAGAGCTGTAAACTGCCTGGCTGAGTGCTAAAGCATACATACACCAACACACCCACAGAGAAATTTAACAAAACTACAAGTTGGTTCTTTGACAAGATCTACAAAACTGACAAACCTTTAGCTGGAATGACCCAGAAAGAAAGAGAGAAGACTACTAAAATTGAGAATAAAAGGAGGGGGCTTCCCTGGTGGCGCAGTGCTTGAGGGTCCGCCTGCCGATGCAGGAGACGCGGGTTCGTGCCCCGTTTCGGGAGGATCCCACGTGCCGCGGAGCGGCTGGGCCCGTGAGCCATGGCCGCTGGGCCTGCGCGTCCGGAGCCTGTGCTCCGCAAATGGGAGAGGCCACAACAGTGAGAGGCCCGCGTAACGCAAGGAAAAAAAAAAAAAAAAAAAAGGAGGGACATTACCACAAACCCTACAAAAATAAAAAGGATTATAAGGGACTATTATGAAAAGCTGTATGCCAACAAATTAGATTACCTAGATGAAATGGACCAATATTTACATAAGAACTAACACCATCTATCACAAACTCTTTCAAAAGAGGGAACACTTCCCAACTCATGCCAGGAGGCCAGACACAGACACCAAAAGAAAAGTACAGATAATATCTCTTATTCCAATATCCCTCACTAATAATCAAAGAAACACAAATTAAAAGAATAATGAGGGAATTCCCTGGTGGTCCAGTGATTAGGACTTGGAACTTTCACTGCTGAGGGCCCAGGTTAAATCACTGGTCAGGGAACTAAGATCCCGCAAGCCGTGCAGCGCAGCCAAAAAAAAAAATAAATAAATAAATAAAAGTTAAAAAAAAATAATGAGATAAACCTCTTCACATCCAGAAGAATGGAAAAAATAATAAAGCTGACATCAAGTGTCAGTAAGGATATAGGCAAACAATAAGCATAAAACCTTGCTAGTGGGCATGTAAATTAGTACAGGTGCTTCAAATTAGTAAAACTAAACACACAGCCACAACTCTGCAATTCCGGTTTTAGGTATAAACTGAAGAGGAACTCACAAACGTGGCTAATGAAACAGCAGACAAGAATATTCACTGCAGCACTAATTTTTAATACAGACAAAGTAGAGTAACTTTAGCTTATTTATATAACAGAACACCAAACAGCAGTTTAAAATGAATAAACTAGTCAACATGTATCAACAAAGATATATCTCAAGAAATGTTGAATTTTAAAAACTACATGTCATTCATGTAAAATTTTAAATATACAAAATAATAGTTTGTAACTTTCATGGACTTAAACATAATGTAAACATGACTAGAAATGATCTATACCAATTTCAGAATAGTGGCTACCTCTAGGGAGGGATGTGGGAGGACTTCAGCTGTTTCTGTAACACTTCTTTAAAAAACAATTAAATCTGGAGCAATTATGGCAAAATGTTAACATCTTTTTAATTTCTCTTGTGATACACAGTATAATTTTTCTATTTTTCTATTTTACATACATATTAAAATGTAGGTATTAACGTATTTATATAAAATATAAAGCAATATATATTAGAGAAACAATTCCCACAGTCACAAAACTATTTTAATTTTCATGTATTCTTTTCTTTATTCATTTGAATATTGCTGAAGTTATACTATACAGAAATCTTTATATTATTTATTCCGTATTAAGAATTCTTTGTTTTAACTTCTTCCAATTACTTCAAAATTTTTTCAAGTTCTTCCATAGGTCTGAAAGACTAATTCATGCTTGGGGGTGGAGGCAATATAGAAGTTAACTATTTTAGTTTGTGAAGGTAGAAGAAAATGTTAAAATGCAGTTCTTACTTGCTGAGTTTGTCTAAATTCTTCCAATAGTTTTAGTGCCATATCATAATCTTTCAGTAAGTGGTATGCAATAGCATATCCAATCCAGGATGCACGTTGTGTTGGGCGCAACTGAAGAAGCTGATATCTCGTCTCCTTTAAAAAAAAAAACCAATTCTTTAAAATTTTTTTCACTTTCTTAAGTTGCTCTAAAATATAATTCATCACAGAGTTTTAAGAAAAAATATCTTTAATTCCTTTCTAATGAATTCAGTGAACAAACATCTCTGAAATCCAGAATAAAACAGAAATACTTTTTATGTTCCTGATCTAAACTTAAGTTCCAGAATACCCTGTAATGTAATGCCCTTGGGGTCAATGCTTTTAGGGTACCTTATAAAATTACCTTTATATAATGAGAATTTCTTCTGGTAACTAAACATCTCAGAAGAGAAACTAAGATAGTTTTTTATGAAACTAGAGTTTACTGTTTATAATACTGTTATATGAAATCACAACATATTTTACATTATTATAATAGGCCCCAGAGATAGGATGGACACAGCCAGGGAAAACACTCAAACATCTGACTGGACTTTTCTAGCAGAAACACCACTGCTGCTACTCTAAGACAGTTCAATATCTACGGCATTAGGGAGAAAACACCAGAAATTCCACCATGGCTGCTCCAGAAGAATCAAGATGCCTTCAGACCAGCAGAAAATCTAACCTCCCTACACAGCTCCCACTTCTTCATAGCTCATATCTGCCTCCAACTTTTAGGCAAGTCCAACTTTGCTTGGCCGAACAGGGTCTCATGAAGAACACTAGCTGCAATGAGTTTTGAAAATGTAATGTTTAGCTTCTGTGAGTCTGCTGTTGGAATGGGTGCCGTCCATCCACGCTACATGCCACAAGGAGAACCACGATCAGATCTTTTAAAAAAAAGATACCTTCAACAAAACAACTTAGACAATATCACTCCTCTACATTGCTGTGTAAATGTCTGCTCCTTTTAGGCATATGGCATTAAGCTCTACCACTGTATCACCCTTACTTTCACTGTTGCTTCTCTGTCACTCCCCCACTTCATTAAAGTCTGACTCAGTTTTCATCTCTCTACCAAATTCTGCCATTATTCTGGGCAAATGCAACACTGTGGATCACCTATCCAATAACCTATCTTCTTAGATCCACGATTTCCTCATCTACAATGATCTCCACCCCACTTCAGGGATCCACTTCCACCACCACACCCTAGACTTTACTGCCACCCAGAAATCATAAATTCAGATACTCACTCTCGCTACAGCTTCTATGCTGCCAACACTGTCACTCAGTGACCTTCCTGCCCTTGTTCTTGGACACCGCCAGTACCTCTAGTTCCTTGAATCCTTCACTTCTAACCACCAGCTCTTTTATCTTCATTTATTTCACTACCCCTCCTAGCAACCAGTCTCTCGCCATTACTAATTTCTTTATTTCTAAAGATAACTGATTTTAACTCTCACCAAACTTAGGCTGCTAAGTCCTAATGAAGAAAAATCACACAATCGTGATGAATGGTACCATTACTAAGCTCAGCAGAACCCTTGAAACTTCTGCAAAACTCTATGCAAAGACTTACATGGCAGTAGAAGGACAACAGTAAAAAAGTAAATGAAAAAAGATTTATCTAAACAGAACTATTAAGAATTGGTAGCCTCCTTCACATGAGAAAGTGAGATAACTGCATTTTGGACATACTGAATTTAGGAAACTAAGTGGAGTAAGCACATGGAGATGCCCAGCAGAGTTGAAGATTACAGTGTGAAAAGGCCTGGGGCTACATTTATGGCAATCCTCACAATATTTTGTACTTTCTAAACCATAATGAAGAAAGCTAATTAATCTCCACATTTAGATTTTAATTATAAAAGCTCTGTTTACCAAATTTGTAAATATCAAGCCCACAAAGAATATAGTACAGCATTAGCACATGAGATCTTCTAGCTTTTCAAAAAGCATTAAATGAGGGACTTCCCTGGTGGTGCAGTGGTTAAGAATCCGCCTGCCAATGCAGAGGACATGGGTTCAAACCCTGGACCGGGAAGATCCCACATGCCATGCATCAACTGAGCCCACGAGCCACCCACAACTACTGAGCCCGTATGCCACAACTACTGAAGCTCGCGTGCTCTAGGGACCGCATGCCGCAACTACTGAGCCCGCATGCTACAACTACTGAAGCCCGCGTGCCTAGAGCCCATGCTCCACAACAAGAGAAGCCACCACAATGAGAAGCCCACGCACCGCAACAAAGAGTAGCCCCCACTTGCCACAACTAGAGAAAGCCCACACAAAGCAACGAAGACCCAACACAGCCAGAAATATTTTAAAAATTAAAAAAGTAAAAAACCATAAAATGAATAAACTAGTTATCCTTTTTTGATGATCAAGTATGCACTTCCAGGGACTTCCCTGGTGGCAAAGTGGTTAAGAATCCGCCTGCCAATTCAGGGGACACGGGTTCAATCCTTGGTCCAGGAAGATCCCACATGTCACAGAGCAACCAAGCCAGTGCGCTACAACTACTGAGCCTGCACTCTAGAGCCCGTGAGTCACAACTACTGAGCCCACGCACCACGACTACTGAAGCCCACGCGCTTACAACCCACGTTCCACAAGAGAAGCCACCGCAATGAGAAGCCTGCACACCGCCAATGAAGAGAAGCGTCTGCTCGCCGCAACTAGAGAAAGCCCGCACACAGCAATGAAGACCCAATGCAGCCAAGAATAAATTAATTAGTTAATTAATTTTTTTTTAAGTATGCAGTTCCACTAATAATATTGGAGGGAAGCTCCAAAGTGACTTTTCCCTTCTACTACAGACTAATGAACAATCAAGTCTGCATGATCTCGTCTTAAGTTCACCTCATTCTGAATTCACATGCTTTTAAATTATATCTATTGTAAAAACATGTACATTTAAGACTAAAGTACTTACTCGATAACCTTCAAGGTCTCTCATTTGGATCTGTAACAGAGAGAGATCCCTCAAAATTTGCAGATTATCTTTATCTAATTTGAGGGCATTTCGGTAACACTTAATAGCTTCATCATACTTCTTATCAGAACGCTGCAAGAGTCCATATACATGCCAACCTATTAAGTTAAGGAAACAGACATTCCCAGATACTAGAATATACTATGCTACATGTCTAATAGAAAGCTTACCTTAACAAAATGGTATTTTGTTTGGGATTTACTTCAGAATGATCTGGCATCAGAGGGATGGGGATAGTAAGCAGGTGACAAAATATGAAACCAGATCAGCCTTGATTGACAACTGTTAAATTATTGAAGCTAGGTGATAGATAGGCAGATAGGGGTGCATTATTCTATTCCACTTTTGTACACGTCTGAAATTTTCTGTAATATATTTTTAAGTAACCTTAGAAAATTATTGGTAAAAATTCTGCATGTTGCCTATCCCCTCACTTTCCTATGCCAGCACCGCAACGCTCACTTATTCTCAAACACTATGTATGGAAACAGAATATGTATTATACAAATATTGCAATTATCTTTTAAAACAAGTATATATTCAATCAATTATAAAACAACATGTAACCATCAATTAATTCACTAGTGATATTAAAGACCACAAAAATTAAGTTTTTATTTAATGTAAAGTCAAGTCTTAGGATATCTTGGAGCCAAAAAACTATCATACTTACAGGCCCTCTCTCTTCGCTCTGGGGTAAGCACTGGGATAAAGAAATAAGTATTTAGTATTTTGAGAGAACCCTAAGCTAAATATGTAAAAACACCACTAAGACTACTGACGTTCAATACTGGCCAATAGCTAGATGATTTAAATGTTAAAAATTAAGGTACAAGAGTAATATGTGAAAAGGTTGTAAGTATATAAATAGGTAAAACAGAGATTAAAACAATTTCAACGATCCATCCCTAAAGAATATTTTTGTTTTTTTAACAAACTGGGATACTAGTCAATGAAAAATACGATTGTTAAGTACCCAGTGAAGTAACAGCTAAGTCCCTGTGCAACAGAAACCAAGCTGAAAATCAACATAATATTTAATACTAAATAAAATCTATTTTACATCAAGTTGCTTCCGAATTTTTCTCCTAAAATTTCTAAAGGAAAGCTTAAGGAACTTTTAAGGAACACAAGTTTTACTATACAGGTAAGTACTATACAGGTAAGTCATTATTTGGAATGATATTTGGAACTGAGTACCACTCAGTTTATGGATATATAGGGGAAAAAATGGGTTTTAAATCACATATAATTATTAGTTACTATTCTCTCACACTAAGCACAACTGCAGTAAATATACAGTGCATAGTAATTCTCTTTAAAATACTCTAATAAACAAAAAAAATAAGAAGTAGGGAACAGATGAAACTAATATTAAAAATGTTGATAATTATTGAAACTTGATAATGGGTACATAAAGTTCATTACATCCACTCTTCCATATAGTTTAAAATTTTTTCATAGTGAAGTTTTATTTTAATTTGAGTTAGAAAAAACTCATAAATGGACAATACATAAATTAAATTAAACTATTCAACTACTGCAAAAGGATACAGACATGACTCTTGACATCATTACGAAGTCCTTTACGAACAAATTCATACGCCTCTTCTTTTTTTCCTAAACAGTTCAATGTTAATCCTTTCATAGCCAAAGTCTCTGAAAAATATTTTTAACCTCTATTTACACATGAAAAATTCAAATTATTCTCTTAGCACTATTTTAATATCTGAGCTCTACCAATACTTACATTATTCATCCTTTTAATCCTATAGTTAGGAGAATTTCTCTCCAAATAAAAAAAGTAAAAGTATATTTATGTATCTGCTTAAAGCTTAGCCCAAGTCCTTTTCTGAAATTCCTCAGGCTGGGACTGAGTTGGTAAAATGCTTTCTGTCTTTCTGAAGACTCTATAAAGGAGGTTAAGATTATTCTGCTGAAAAAAGGTAACACAGCAGGGTCCTGAGTCCTGTTGAGTTAAATCTACTGCAACAGACCTCAGCTTTCACCTGAGATCAAGCCTACTAAAAATCAAATCATCTGATTTATACCCCACAAAATCATTCAATCTACCTTAAAGAGATGTACAGAATTTAAAAATCACCTTACTCATTATTGGAACAGACTTCATTTTTGGCTGCAAGTTTATTCCAATGAATCCCACGTAGGCTAATTAACATCAGTTTGCATTTGAAAAGCACGAGTGGCAACCCAAGAATATGTTGAAGGTAGTTAATCAAAGATTGTTTAGAATGAAATAATTCTCTGAATAATCCACAACAAGGGAATTAGACAAGAACAATGGTTTTCAAACTGATCTCTATGGACTATGGTTTTCAGAACGGGTGATCCAGCAGTCCAGGCCCCTATGACCAAACATCTTATTTTTTTTATCTGTTTTTACATAATGAATTTCCCCACAAGCTCCCCTTTGGATAAGGGTTCCACTGCTAAAGAGCTTGAAAAAAAGCTTTAATTTCTAAAATTCTATGAAATTACTTCTTTCCATTTCCTTCAAAGAATGTTTTAAGTGTTATTAGAAAGCTGAGTAGGGTCAGCCTATTTTCCCAAAAAGATGGTCTCAATAATTAATCAAGTCTAATATTCAGAAACCCCATCAGCTTTGCTCTGCTACAGGACCATAATTTACATGTCTAACCTGATCCATCCTTTTACCAAACACTGGTCACCAGTGAAAAAGGATGAGACAAGCAAATACAGACTTACTAACATCAGCACTAGAAAAATAACCCAAGATAATACAATGGTAAATCAGTAGTATCTTATTTACATATGAAGGTTAGCAGATAGATAAAAAAATACATCTACCAAAAAATAAAATGCATTTGATTGTATCTTCATACTACTTTGGCGTTGCAAATATTGTTCTAATTTTACACACAAGAAATCAAGGGATAAACTTAAATTCTATTCAAAGTAACAAATGAAATCAGGTCTATAAAAATACAGGTATATACGCCAATTACTCACCAATATATCAACCAATCATTTCTCATCTAAAAGTAAAGACTGTAAATACACTTAAGTATAATAGAAGTAATCTAGAATAAGAATGATATGAGGCATATCTGAAAACGTTAAACATTTATGCACTCTAATAGAGAACTACAAGGCCATGGAATCTGAAGTATTCTTCCTTCACAGCTGGGAATCCTATCCATCTGGTTTTAGAATTAGATTTCCCCAAAGTAGTCTCTCATAGGTGAGATAATACCTCCATGTTCAGCAAATTTTGGATTTGAAAGAATCAACTTGCAAAACTTGAGGCCATTTTTGTATTGCTTCTGTTCGTAACATTTCTGTAAAGAAATATGAACAAAAATTATTATATAAAATGAATACACATGTAGCAACTTTTCATTCCATTATATAAATTCTAAATTCAAGATCCAAAATTAGGTCTAAAACATATGTGATGGAAAGGTTTTGTATCAATTCGTATCAGTTATAACATGAAGTTTACCTCTGTAACCTGCTCCTTGCCAAACGATTCTGGTATCTGAGTATTTTTACTTTTATAGAAGACAAAGAAAAAAACACCTTAATTGTCAACCAACACACTGCTACAGCTTTCTTTAATTCAAAATCCAAAAGCAAAAACATATGTGATAACACAGAAAAATACCAGAAACTGCATTAGAAGTCTCTGCTACTTCAAGAATGGAACCAAGGCATACACACAAAAAAATACTGCTATTTACTGAGCAACTACCATGTGTCTGTACAAAACTTGCTATAACTCACAACAACTCCTTCAGGTAGGTGTCATGACCTCCACCTTACAGATGTAGAAACTGAAATTTAAAAGTCCATTAAATTAATTTACAAGTGGCTCAGCTTAGTTGCAAACTCTCCTCTGACTCCAAGACTACGGTCTTTCCATCACTTGTAGTCTAATACAAGTGTAAGCAAATCTCTTACACTTGTATTAGACTAGATTTATTTAGGAATAAACCCTCTTTATTCCTCAATGCCACCAGCCAGGCTAAGTAATCACGCCTGCCCTCCACAGCCATTAACCACCAGAACACCGCATCTTTAACTCAACCTTTGACTTACGTGGTTACGGGTTTTCTTTTTAGTACTCAGCGTGCCAAGCTCATCCTCACCTCAGGGCCTCTGCACTTGTGTTCCTTCCACCCCCTGAAATGCTGTTCCTCCCCACATCTTCCCATGGCTGATTCCCTACGATCAAGTTTTACATATCATCTACCTGACAACTCTAACACTGCCAGCCTCTTACAGCACCCCCCAAAACACTCTATCATATTACTCTATTTTCTACACAGCGCTATCATTTCCTGACATTCTTACTCATTTTTGTACTTATTTAGTGTCTATCTTCCCCACCATACTGTAAGCTCCTGAGAACAGGGATCTTGCCTATTTTAAACACTGCTACATCCTCAGGTTCTAGACAAATAAGAACTGCTCAATACATAGTCAATATATACATTCAAGTTCAAAGCAAAACAGTACCAGCAAAGGAGGAGGAAGAGATTAATTCTTGCCAACAGGGGTGGGATATGGAGAGGAGAATTAGAAAAGTATTCATAGAAAAACATCTTTAAATTAAAGCTTCCTGATTGCCTATGGGGAAGAGAAATTAGTGGTTGGGAAAGAGGACAGGAAAACCTGAATTTTGAACCATGCAAATATATTACGTATTCCAAAAATATTAAAAAAAAAAAACAAACAAAAAACAAGCAGAAGGAACTACTGGGGAAGAGGTAAAGAAGAGAAATATTATTTTTTTTCTGCCTTACCAAGTGATCTGGAAGTAATAACATCATACTACCAATAACAGTAATAGTAATAGTTAACACTTACTGGAAGCACTTACTATGTGTCAGGCACTGTTCTCATTTATTCCTTACTTAAATACCAGGAAAGCCTAGGAGATGCACATTGTCTACATTTTAGATGGAGAGACTGAGGCACAGTTACTGAGCTTACACAGCTACTGAGTTTACAAAGCTAGTAAGTGTCAGAGCCACAATTCAAGCCCAGGTAGTCATCTCCAGTATCCGAGTACTCAGGTTAAAGAAAAGTCTTAAGTTCACTAAGGAATATCTACTTAGTACAAAAGGTAGACTCTAGTTTCAACTTTGCTACTAACCAGACGGAGAACCTTAGATACTTAGTCATTTACCATCCCTGGGTTTGATTGTCTCATTTGTAACAGAGGGCCTGCAATAGCTCCAAAATTCAACAAAACATAATGCTAACAGCCAGTCTGGGGAATAAGATAGGCAGGTACAAGCCATGCAGAACACGTGATAAGCAACCTGGTGAATTTGGTATGGGACATGTCTTTCAGTAAAATGATAATTTTTAAAAAATTATTGTTGGTGGCAAAGCATTTTGGTCCACCAACCAAACTTTAAAAAATAATTTTATTATAGACTTCTGTTTGCTATGGAATTTGTCATAGTAAAACTTTACCCACTTATTGCAATTTGAGACAATCAAATCATTCACTTTTGCAGTATCCTCCTAAATTCATGTAACATTATAATAAACATTACATACCCAGATAAAAAATGTTTAGCATTTCCCAATTTATTTGGGGATAAAATTAACTCTGCAGTGGTCTTTACATTTTTTTATAACTAGAGTAATAATAAATCATATAATTGTTTTTCATTATGCTACTAATAACATGATTTGAACTAGAAAATATCCATACAGAGAGAAAATAAGTCTCTGTCATCTTTTAGGTATAATACCAAATGTCCTAAAATCCAACAATTTATAATTTTTCATTAACATGTTTCAGTTTCCTTAGACCAAAAAAATAACAACAAAACACCCCACCCAAAAGGGGCAAAAAAGTTCACTTCTCCAATTCCACACTGCGAAAAATACAAGGGTATGAGAAAAATGAAAGTAAAATAAAGAAAAAATAAATGCAAAGTCGAATGAAGCAATCTGCCACAATGCTTTAATTAGATTTATGTTTTTACACTCGTTTCTCATCATTTGCGCAACACTAAGCACCATATAAAATTAAGACAAAAATTTCATCCGATTTACTATGTAGCTTTTGTAACATTCTGAAGACTAAGTGTGACGTTTCTATTTGGCTTGAAAGAGAACGGCTACTATGATTTTTTTTTATCTGCAGTTGCTTATACTTTATTTTATATATAATAAAGGTAAGCGACAGCTAATGGTCATATAACCAACACAAGCTCCGATTAATAAATTCACCCTTAAAATCTAAACGCTGGTTTTCAGATGAAAGGCAATCAGTCTCCAGTGTCTATGGAGAAAAGCAAAGGCATGTTAACCCTCCTCCCTGGAAAACCATTAAGGTACCAGGACGGTGACACATAACCCACAGAAAACTCCCCTCTCCACCCGGCAGCCGTCATCATTACGGGGCCATTATTCAGGTTTCTGCTCGGAATCAAAGTAAATGCACCCCTCAAGTGCAATACCAGCTAGTCCGCGGGGCTTTAACCACTTACAGGGCCTGTAGGAGTTAAAAACAGAGCTGTGTTCGGCTTTAGAACTTAGAAATGCAGTTCGAGTCACGTACTTCCCAAAGAGGATTAGTACGACACACCAAAAATAGGCAAACTCTCTACCAAAGGGAGGATGAGTCTCCGGGGTTTTAGTTTCCCGTAACCGGTATAAATCGGATCCCACCCCATTACAGGATCGCTCCCGCTTTCAAAGGTGTCGAGGTGCGCTGTGCAACAGATTCCACATAAAGCAGTGAACGAACACCTGGACGCAGGGATGCTGGCAAAAGTAACTGGGGTGGACCGAGGGGAGGAGGTCGCGAGGCCGGCCGCCAGGCGCCGCAGAGGGCACGGGCCACTCCCGGCCGGCGCGCCCAGGCCCAGGGTGACTGCGGCGGGAAGATTCTGGAAGGAGCGGCCGCGGAGGGAGGGAGGAAAGCGGGGCGGCGGGCCCTGCGAGGCGGGGGTAGGGCCGTGCGGGTTCGCGCACAAACAAAGAACCCAAGGGGGCCGGGCCCAGCCGCGCAGGCGCCATCGCCACCAGACAGCTCGCCGCGCCGGGCCCGGGGCTGCCGGGCGTGGGCGGCGCAGCCACTGGCCACTCACCAAGATGCGTTTGAAGAGGTTGCTCTCCTTTGGCGGCAGCTGCACGTTCGGCATCGCGGCTGGAGAGGAGGCTGGGTGCCCGCGCGCTCCGTTTCGCGGGATGGGCACCGGGACGAGCCGCGACTAAGAGTCGTGCTGCGGGCGACGGGTCAGTTCATTGGCCTAGACTTGGGGCTGAGCAGCCTGGGCAGAGCTGCCGGGCAGGGCTGGCAATAGAAAAGGAAGCCGGTCCGGGTAGGATATCCTTTAGCCCCAGCCTTGCTTTGGGGTAAGCGGCGGCGGCTCCCGTACGGGGCAAGATGGCAGCTAGGACCCGCCCCCCTCGAGCGAGGCGGTGTGCGCATGCGCAGGGCGACCCGCGGCGAGGAACCGGGGCCCTGTGTTAGGCGGTCGCTTCTGTCACCTGCACCCAGGCACCGGGTAGGGAGCTTGCACCGTAGCCGTTCGTAAGTCGCTGCCTTGTACTGTGCTTTGGTTTTTAGGCTTCTGGCCCAAGATAATGTTAGTTATATCAGAATCTGACTTTTTTGATTTCTCTCCAGTCAGGAATTTAAACAGTGCTGGACACAAAGTAAATTTCTTGATGTAGGACGAACTTGTTTTCCTTATTTTCTCCCTCGACTTAGACTTTAAGAGAAGCCTTTTCTCTCCAGGGCAGAGCAAAGAAGTATTGACAACGTATGTGAGGTCACTGGGCAGGACTTGAAAAGGGCTAATGTGAAAGCACGTTTGAAATGTCAGAGAAAAATATTCTCAGCAGTTTAGAACACCTAACATTGTCAGTGAGAATTACGGTGGTTTTATGGGGCGCCTGATTCCCCAGGTCTACCTACACTTTCTCCTCAGGTGGTTCTCCTTTATACAAGCCCTATAATAATGAAAGAAAAAAGATTCAAACCCAGGATCTTCCAACTCTGGGGCACTTTCTACCATACATAAAAGACAGCATAGTGACAGAAATGTGTGAGTCTAGAAAGATCTGGACATACATTGTTGACAAGAATAGCCGTACATACGGTGTAGGTTTAATATTAAGGTATATGTAAATATTAGGTACATAAACTTATACATGTTCTGGATCTTCATTTGTGCATGTTTGTGAGACTACAGGGTAATTGATGTATAGTTGCATTTAATGGGCTGTAATCAGAACTGGGTGGGGCTTACTTGATTTTTTTTTCCCTGTATCCTGAGTTGGTCAGAGATGGGAGAAAGTATCACCTGAGTCTTTTTTGTTTTTTGGCCGCTCTGCAGGGTTTGCCGGATACTAGTTCCCCAGCCATGGATCAGACGCGCACCCTCAGCAGTGAAAGTGCAGAGTCCTAACCACTGGACTGCCAGGGAATTCCCTCACTTTTAAAATAAGGAAGGGACTGTTATTAAAACGGGGGAGGTCCAGAAGGGCCTATGTGTTCTAGACAGAAACTAGGCTCCCCGAGCTATTAGAGAGGAAGTAGGCAAAGAGGGCTTCGTGGGAAACTTGGCTGAGTGGCACCTGAGCTGGTGGTGGTCTCCTAGACCAGGGGTCCCCAACCCCCGGGCCACAGACCGGTAACAGTCCGTGGCCTATTAGGAACCCGGCTGCACAGCAGGAGGTGAGTGGCAGGTGAGTGAAGCTTCATCTGTGTTTACAGCCGGGCCTTATTGCTCCCATTACCGCCTGAGCTCCGCCGCCTGTCAGATCGGCGGCCGCATTAGATTCTTAGAGGAAGGCAAACCCTACTGTGAACTGCGCATGCGAGGGATCTAGGCTGCACACTCCTTAATGAGAATCTGATGCCTGATGATCTGGGGTGGAGCTGAGGCAGTGATGCTAGCGCTGGGGAGCGGCTGCAAATACAGATTATCCTTAGCAGAGAGGTTTGGCTGCACAGAGACCATAATAAATCAGTTGCTTGCAGACTCATATCAAAACCCTATCAGTGAGTGGCAAGTGACAATTAAGCTGCATCTTACAGAGTAGACTGGACATAAGCAGCACACTTCGGGTGTCACTGTCTCCCATCACCCCCAGATGGGACCATCTAGTTGCAGGAAAACAAGCTCAGGGCTCCCACTGATTCTGCATTCTGGTGAGTTCTATAATTATTTCATTATGTATTACAATGTAATAATAATAGAAATAAAGTGCACAATAGATGTAATGCGCTTGATTCATCCCAAGACCATCCCCCCACCCCCTCAGCCCCTGGTCCATGGAAGAATTGTCCTCCACCAAACTGGTCCCTTGTGCCAAAAAGGCTGGGGACCGCTGTCCTAGACGAGCAGCAGGGACAGGGGAGTGCCTGCTCACAGCACCCTCCGACTCCACCACTCCTATAGTCCCTACTCACTCTTTGCTCACCATGACATTACTGATTGCTGAAAATTTTTTGGTTCCCAGTTTATCTACATCCTCAGATGTAAAGGGTTAATTGTGGGAAGAGCAGAAGCTCCAGTGCTCCAGTCAGATTATCCCTTGATCCTCATAGGACATGGACTTTTCTGGAATGTACCTCAGCCAGCTCAAGCCACTCTGCCTCACCTCAATGCCAACTTCAAAATGACAAGTTGAAAAAAGAGTGCACACATACCTCGTTTGTCTACAGTGGGATGGGGGGGTGAAGGGAGAGGTGGGGAATTGAAAAGAATGCCAATATCGTAGCTGGTAGTTGTCAGCCTGAACCTTAGAGTGTCTAAAAGACTTGATGCACACACTGAGAAAGCCTGGATTAGCCCATGGCTGTAATTTTATCACTGACTTCCTGTTTAGTCTGGAGCAAATCTTATTTCCGCCTTTCAACAGAAAATGGGGTTATAATAACATTATGGTAATCTTGCACACCAGGGTTACAGTGAATGTAATGCTTAGTCCTTCCTAAGCCCTTAGAAAAAAAACAAATGCATTGTAAATCTGAACTCATTGTCTCTCAGGAAGAATGCTGAAGCCCCACTGAGGGCCTCTACCCAGATGTTCTCTCCTGGTGCTTCAGGCAGGGTGGACCTCCTTTAGAATCATGCATATGGTAAAATAACAGTAGCAACACCTGTGAAGACCTGAACAGTTCCTGAAGCACTTTTTACATACGGGATATGGGCCAGTGATTCTATAGAGCCAAGGAGAAAAGAATCTAGAAAAGGATGGTCTCCACCCCATATACATAGCATATCTTACAAAGCCAGCTGACAGGGTAAAATCAAGTCATTTGCTGCTATTCCCACCACCAAAGGGATGGAACAGAACTCATCAGATTGTGTAATGTTTCTGCTCACTTCTCCCTTCCATGCTCTTGTTTCAGAAAAGAGGGTTCCTCCCTGGGAGCTCTTGATCCCATCTCCTTTTGCTTTTCCTGAACTTTCATTCATCGGTTATTCCCCCCACTATTTGCATTTTCTCCCTCCTTATGTAGTTTATATTCTATGGGAGGAGGCGGAGAATAAACACATAAAGAAACAAGATTATTCCAGACTGTGGGAGGTCCTGGGAAGGAAATAAAACAAGGTCATGTGAGGGCAATGGGGGTTGAGGAGAGAACAAATGTGTTTAAATACTCGAAATACTTCAGGTACTCAGGAATGATCTAGAACAGCTTCTGGAGAGGTGATAACATGAACAGAGACCTAAAGGATGAGAAGAGAATTAACAAGATGAGAAATTGGGACATCACTTTCCAGTGAAAGGGAACCACGTGCATGATTAAGAGTCAGGAACTCTTCTAATGATTAAAAGATTAATCATTAAAACATGATTAAAAGAGTCAGGTTAACATGATTAAAAGAACATGATTAAAAGAAAGAGTCAGGTTAAGAACTACAGGTTCAAGGAGGTGGCTGGGGGGTCATGCGGGGAGGAAGATGGTACAGTTCAGTTGAAACTGTAGCCCAGGCTGTCTTCGGTTTGTCATCTTAGGCAATGTGGTTTGGTTTGGTTTCATACTAAACTCAGTGAGGGAGCCATTGAAGCATTTGAAGCAGGAAAGTTTCATGATCTGATTTATTTTTTTAAAAGGTCACTCTGAAAGAGATAATGGGGTTTCTTCTAGGAAAGTGCCAATTCTAATCTAATCCTTCTTAAGACTTGGCTTCTGCCACTTTTGAAAATGTTCTCTGAAATCTCACCAATTCATTTGTTCAGTACTTAGTTATGGAGCACAGTGTGACAGACAGTCTTCTGACAAACAAAACTAGCTGCCCTCATGAAGCTCACATGTTAAGGATTGCCTAGTGGCCAAATCCAAAGATTTTTTTCAGTTCACAGTTTCCTTAACTTCTCTGTAGCATTTCACACAGTGGATCACCGTCCTTGACTTTTTCTGCCTTTAGTCACCAAGCCCCAGCAGAATCCTGGGTTTCCGCCTGTCTCTCCTCCCAGTCATTCTCTGGGTCCTCTGTCATCTCCTCCTCTTTCTTTTTTTTTTTTAATTAATTTATTTTATTTATTTAGTTTTGGCTGCGTTGGGTCCTCGTTGCTGCACACAGGCTTTCTCTAGTTGTGGAGAGCGGGAGCTACTCTCCGTTGTGGTGCATGGACTTCTCATTGTGGTGGCTTGTCTTGTTGTGGAGCACGGCCTCTAGGTGCATGGGCTTCAGTAGTTGTGGCACACGGGCTCAGTAGTTGTGGCTCACAGGCTCTAGAGTGCGGGCTCAGTAGTTGTGGCGCATGAGCTTAGTTGCTCCGCTGCATTTGGGATCTTCCCGGACCAGGGCTCGAACCCCTGTCCCCTGCATTGGCAGGCGGATTCTTAACCACTGTGCCAGCAGGGAAACCCCTCCTCCTCTTTCTAAATGTTGGTTGTCTAGACAACTTGGCTTTCTCTTTCAACAGCAGCAATAAAATCTGTTCATCAAGCAGCTGCTGCTCATCAGCAAGATGAAATTAATAATTCTCCTGCCCCCATAGCCTCCATTATTAACACCAAGCAGATTAAAAATCTGTCTCCAGTTTCAAACCCTCTTGATCTCTTAGCCTTCATGCCCACTTGTTTGTTAAATATCTCCACCTGGATGTCTTATAAACATTTTCTACTTGAACAGTAAAAATAAAACTTATCGGGGCTTCCCTGGTGGCACAGTGGTTAAGAATCTGCCTCCCAGTGCAGGGGACACGGGTTCGAGCCCTGGTCCAGGAAGATCCCACGTGCCGC